TTTGTGTTGGAGTTTCTGTTGCCCAGGCTGGAGGGCAGTGGCACGCTCCTGGTCACCACAGCCTTGACTTGCTGGGCTCAGGAAATCCTTCCACCTCAGTCTTCCAAGTAGCTGGAACTATAGGCATGTACCACCATGACAGGCTAATTTTTTTTTTTTGAGTTGGAGTCTCACTCGGTCACCCAGACTGGAGTACAGTGGCCACTCTTGGCTACCGCAGCCCCGCCTGCTGGGCTCTGGCGATCCTTCCACCTGTCTTCCAAGTAGCTGGAATTACAGGCATGCGCTACCACACCCAGCTGATTTTTTGATTTATTGTAGAGATGAGGTCTCACTGCCCAGGCGGGTCTCGAACCCATGGGCTCAGGCAATCCACTCACCTCAGCCTCCCAAAGGCGCGGGATTATAGGCTGAGCCACCAAATCCGGCCAGAACTTTTTTTTAAAAAAAGACATTTGTTTTTAAAGAGCAGATTTAGATTCACAGCCAAATTTATGTTACAAAACTGAAACTGTATTAAAAAACAACTCCCTACTCCATCCTCCCTCCAGCCTCTGGTATCCAGCATTCTGGAAGCTTTCTGTCTTTGAGTTTCACTACTCTAGAGACTTCACCTAAGTGGAATCATACATTGATTGTCTTTTTGTAACTGGCTTATTTCACTTAGCAAGATGCACTCAAAGCTTATTAATGTTCTAGGAATTTCTCTCCTCCTCTCCCCCTTTTTCTTTGAATTGGAGTCTCATTCCGTTGCCCAGGCTGGAGTGTAGTGGCACGCTCACTGCCACCCCAGCGTCAACCTGCTGGGCTCCGGCGATCTTTCTGCCACAGCCTTCCAAGTAGCCGGAACACAGGTGCACACTACCACCCCAGGCTAATTTAAAAAAAAATTTATTGTAGAGATGAGGTCTTGCCAAGTTACCCGGGCTGGTCTTGAATCCGTGGACTCAGGCAATCTACTCGCCTCGTCCTCCCAAAGTGCTGGGAACACAGATTGAGCCACAGAGCCTGGCCTCTCCCTTTTTTTTTTTTTTTTTTTTTAAAAGAGACAGAACCTCCCTAGATCTCCAACTCCTGGCCTCAAGCATTCCTCCCATTTCAGCCTCCTGAATATCTGGGACTAGAGACATGAGCTGCTGCGCCCCAGAATTAACTTCCTTTTAAAGGCAGAATAATATTTGATTGTATGTACTACGTTTTGTTACTCCATCCACCCATAGGTGAACATTTGGGTTGCCTCCACCTTTTGGCTATTCTCAGTAAAGCTGTTGTCAACATGGGTGTGCTTTTGGATGTAAACACAGAACAGGAATTTCTGGATCATGTAGTCATTCTATTTTTAATTTTTTGGAGGAACTTCCATAGTGCTACCTATAGCGGCTGCAACATGTTACATTCCCACCAACAGTGCATAAGGGTTCATTGGAGATATTTTATTTTTTTGAGGAGGATCCCATTCCGTTGCCCAGACTGGAGTGCAGTGGCAGCTCAGGGACACCACAGCCTCCACGACCTCCTGGGCTCAGGCAATCCTTCTGCCTCAGCCTTCCAAGTAACTGGGACTATAGGTGAGCACCACCATGTCTCACTAATTTTATGATTTATTGTAGAGATGGAGTCTTACCAAGTTGCCCAGGCTGGAGTGCAGTGGCATGCTCACTGCCATCCCAACGTTGACTTCCTTTAAAAAAAAAAAAAAGAAAAAAAAAAGACAGCCGGGCTCGGTGGCTCAGTCTGTAATCCCGCGCCTTTGGGAGGCTGAGGTGAGTGGATTGCCTGAATCTGCGGGTTCAAAACCCGCCTGGGCAGCGAGACCTCATCTCTACAATAAATCAAAAAATCAGCCGGGCGTGGTAGCGCATGCCTGTAATTCCAGCTACTTGGAAGGCTGAGGTGGAAGGATCGCCGGAGCCCAGCAGGTCGAGGCTGCAGTGGCCGGGAGCGGCCACTGCACTCCAGTCTGGGCGACAGAGTGAGACTCCAAATCTTCTTTCGGGAAAACAGGTTCAGAGAAGTAAATGGCTTATTCAGAGACACAGGGTAGTGGTTGTGCCAAGATTCTAATCCTAGTTTCCTGGGTCTTGATCCTTGCTTGAAGCAAAATGCTAACTTGCACATCTGATTTTTTTTTTGAGTTGGAGTCTCAATCTGTTGCCCAGGCTAGAGTGCAGTGGTGTGCTCATAGTCACCACAGCCTTGACCTGCTGGACTCAGGTGATCCTTACGCCTCAACCTTCCAAGTAACTGGAACTATAGGCACGTGCCATCGTGCCTGGCTAATTTTTCAAAATTTATTTATTGGAGAGATGAGGTCTTGCCAAGTTACCCAGGTTGGTCTTGAACACCTGGGCTTAGGCAATCCTGTCACCTAGGCTTCCCAAAGGGCTGGGATTATAGGCGTGAGCTACCGTTCCCGGCCGCACATCTGATACTTAAGGGGCCCCTCGCATCATGTTTGCTGGGTCAACCTGGCCCTACAAAGCTGTGGAGTGAGGAGACATTTCACAGCCAAAAAGAGCAGCCCAATTTCTGCTTTGGAATGAAAATGAGTCCTCCCTTACTCCAGGCAATGGGGAGTCTCTCTGGTTTGATGTTCTGGGGCTGAGAACAAAGTGGATCTTTGAGTGGGCAAAGGTCTCTCATTCATCCTAGAAACTGGGGCTCCAAATTCTAATTGCATTTTGCTCCAAGCAAACAATGCTTCCCAGGTTCCAGGATCTTTGGCTTGGGAATTTATCTAGTCTGAGCTCTCTGATTGCTAAACCCCACCCAGAAAGAGCCACTTAACAGACATCAAAGAAGGGAGGAAATTAGACCTGTAATCCAGCACTTTGGGAGGCCGAGGATCACTTGAGCCCAGGAGTTCCAGACCAGCCTGGGCAACATAGTGAGACCTCATCTCTACAAAAAATAAAAAAATTAGCTCGGTATAGTGTCATGTGCCTGTAGTTCCAGTACCCGGGCTGAGGTAGGAGAATCACTTGAGCCCAGGAGGTCAAGCCATGATCATGCCACTGCACTCTGGCCTGGATGACAGATACTCCGATTTTCAAAAAAAAAAGAAGGGAATCATGATAATCTTAATTGTTATTTTTCCACAATAATACTTTATAGAGCGAGCAAGGACAGAGTGGTGAGTTGCTTGTACAAAATTGGACAGCCAATAAAAGGCAGCGCTAAATTTGAACCCAGGCAACTTGGCCTCAAAGATCAGCACCCTTAATTTACTCAAATCATATTGATTAAGCAGCTACTATGTGCCAGGCCCTGCATGGGAAGCTTGCTTCTCTTCCAGGAACCCTTCCTATAACCTTGAAAAGTAGTAAAATTCTTGGCTGGGTGCGTTGGCTTAAGCTTGTAATCCCAGTACTTTGGGAGGCCGAAGCAAGAGGATTGCCTGAGCTCAGGGGTTCGAGACTTGCCTGGGCAACTTGGTGAGACCTCATCTCTACAATAAATAAAAAAATAAGCCAGGTGTGATAGCTTGCCCCTGTAGTTCCAGCTATTTGGAAGGTTGAGGTGGAAGGATTGTCTGAGCCCAGAACGCTGAGGCTGCGATGCAGTGTATCACTGCACTCCAGCCTGGGTGACAGAGTGAGACTCTGACTCAAACTGAGACTACAGGCGGTGGTTCAGCCTGTAATCTTAGCACTTTGGGAGCCCAGGGGTTTGAGACAAGCCTGGGCAGCTTGGTGAGACCTTGCCTCTACAATAAATAACAAAAACTAGATGAGTGGGTTGGTACATGCCTGTAGTTCCAGTTGCTTAGAAGGCTGAGGCAGAAAGATCACCTGAGCCCGGCAGTTTGAGACTGTGGTGACTGTGAGCGTGCCGTTGCACTCCAGCCTGGACAACAGAGTGAGACTCTGACTCAAAAAAGAAAAAATGCCGGGCTCGGTGGCTCAGCCTGTAATCCCGTGCCTTTGGGAGGCTGAGGTGAGTGGATTGCCTGAGCCCGTGGGTTCGAGACCCGCCTGGGCAGGTGAGACCTCATCTCTACAATAAATCAAAAAATTAACCGGGCGTGGTAGTGCGCACCTGTAATTCCGGCTACTCGGAAGGCTGAGGCGGAAGGATCACTGGAGCCCAGCAGGTCGAGGCTGCGGTAGCCGAGAGCGGCTACTGCACTCCAGTCTGGGCAACAGAGTGAGACTCAAAAAAAAAACCAAAAAAAAAAAAATAAAGAAAAGTATTAAAATTCTCAGGTGCAGTGACTCATGCCTGAAATTCCAGCACTTTGGGAGGCTGAGGCAGGAGGATCTCTTGAGCCTAGGGGTTTGAGACCAGCTTGGGCAACATAGTGAGACCTCATCTTTATAAAACAAAAACAGTTTTTTTTGAGTTGGAGTCTCAGTCTGTTGCCCAGGTTGCAGTGCCGTGGCACACTCACGGCCACCCCAGCATCGAGCTGCTGGACTCCAGTGATCCTTCCGCTTCAGCCTTTCAAGTAGCCAGAACTACAGGCCTGTGCTACCACGCCCGTCTAATTTTTTGATTTATTGTAGAGACGAGGTCTTGCCAAGTTGCCCAGGCTGGTCTCAAACCTATGGGCTCAGGCAATCCAATCGCCTCAGCCTCCCAAAATGCTGGGATTACAGGCTGAGCCATCGAGTTCGGCCTAAAACAAAAAATTAACCAGGTGCAGCGGAGCATGCCTGTAATCCCAGTTACTTGGGAGGCTGAAGTGGGAGGATGGCTTGAGCCCAGGAATTCGAGGCTGCAGTGAGCTATGAGTGGGTCACTGTACTCCAGCCTAGGCAGAAGAGCTAGATCCTTTCTCTAGAAAAAAAAAATCTCACTTGGTTTGAGGGCTTCAAGGTGCAGATGGATGACTTGGTGGATAAGAAACATTCTTGTCCCTCCTGCTTTCCGTGACTCTACTGCTCTGAGGAGTTGGTCTTACACCCCTACTCTTAGGGCCAAGGTGGGATGAGTGTTCTTGGTGACTTTCTGTCTGGTTTTCTCCGCAGATCTCAGCAACCTCCTTGACTCCATCCGAGATGCTGTGGCAGGCGCTTTGCCAGTTTGGCCGGCAGCTGGTGCGCAGGCGGCCCCTGGAGCTGGGCGAGCAGGCGCCTGAGAACCGCTTGTCCCGTTGTCTGAGCACCCTGGATCTGGTGGCCCTGGGGGTGGGCAGCACCCTGGGAGCAGGCGTGTACGTCCTGGCTGGGGAAGTGGCCAGAAACAAGGCTGGACCCTCCATCGTCATCTGCTTCCTGGTGGCTGCCCTGTCTTCCATGCTGTCCGGACTCTGCTATGCGGAGTTTGGGGCACGGGTGCCATGCTCCCGATCTGCGTATCTCTACAGCTACGTGACGGTGGGTCAGCTCCTGGCTTTCATCACCGGCTGGAATCTCATACTCTCCTATGTCATTGGTGAGGTCCTGGAGCAGGGGGGAAGGTGTGGGGAACCAAAGGGAGTCAGGATCAGAACAGGCAGGGGACTCCTGGGGGAGCTGGAGTGGCCTTCATCGTCATTTTGTTTGTTACCTTGTGCTGGGAGGGGGTCATGGTGGGAGAAAGACCTCCAAAACGTCCTTCTGTAATTGACTGGGTGCAGTGGCTCATGCCTGCAATCCAAGCACTTTGAGAGGCCGAGATGGGAGGATCGCTTGAGCCCAAGAGTTCAAGACCAGTCTGGGTAACATAGCAATACACTATTTCTGTTCTTTTTTTTTTTTGAGTTGGAGTCTCACTCTGTCACCCATGCTGGAGTGCAGTGGCACACTCATGGCCACAGCAGCCTCAACTTGCTGGCTCAGGTGATCCTTCTTCCTCTGCCTTCCAAGGAGCTGGAATGACAGGCGCGTGCTATCACGCCAAGCTTGTTTTTTGACTTATTGTGGAGACGAGGTCTTGCCAAGTTGCCCAAGCTAGTCTTGAACCACTGAACTCACGGCTGGTCTTGAACCACTGAGCTCAGGTAATCCTCTTGCCTCGGCCTCCCAAAGTGCTGGGATTACAGGCTTGAGCCACCGTGCCAGGACTTTGTTATTCTTTTGGGTTGGAGTCTTACTCTGTCACCCAGGCTGAAGGGCAGTGGCATGCTCATGGCCACTGCAGCCTTGACCTGCTGGGGTTTAGGTAATCCTTTTGCCTCAACCTTCCAGGTAGCTGGAACTACAGGTGCGTGCCACCACACCAGTTAATTCTTTTGATTTATTGTAGAGACAAGGTTGCCCAAGTTCCCAGGTTGGTCTCGAACCAAATCCTCTTGCCTCTGCCTCCCAAAGTGCTGGGATTACAGGTGTGAGCTACTGCACCAGGCCGATACCCCATTTATTAAAAAAAAAAGTCCTATCTGCTTCATTCTGCCTTCCTTTCATGACTGAATAACAAACCGAGAAGAGCTAAGAACTGTAGGAAGCAGCGCAGAATTCTTGTAGATGAGGGGAAGACGCATTCCACAACCTTGTTCCCCCATTATTTCAAGTCCTTGTTCAGCTGTCACCTTCGTGAGATTTTCTCTGATGCCTCATTTATGTATTTTTTTCTTTTCTTTTTTTTTTTGAGTTAGAGTCTTACTCTGTCACCATGACTGGAGTGCAATGGCCGCTCCCGGCCACTGCAGCCTCGGTCTGCTGGGCTCCGGTGATCCTTCTGGCTCAACCTTCCAAGTAGCTGGAACTACAGGCGCGCGCTACGACACCTGGCTAATTTTTGATTTATTGTAGAGATGAGGTCTTGCCAAGTTGCCCAGGCGGGTCTCGAACCCGCGGGCTCAGGCAATCCACTCACCTCAGCCTCCCAAGGCACGGGATTATAGGCTGAGCCACCGAGCCTGGCCTCTTTCTTTTTTGTGTGTGTGACATCTCCCACTTGCTAGGTGCTTTGCACTCTACTGACTATATTTTCTGATTTTCTGTATTCTTGATGCTTGGGCATCCTGGATATCCATGAGCAGGGCCTGCCCCTCCCACGACTAGCCGGTTCTTAGAGCTAGCAAATGCCTTGTCTAGGAATGTGCCTTTCATTTGAAAACCAATCCAGAGCCCATACACTGGCCATCTCTTCTATCTGGCTTTTGCTCTCTAGAAGGCAATATTTCTCTGCCTTAATCACCCTGGGCCAGGTACCAGAGAATTAGGCACCGCCCCTAATCCCCAGAGCCAGTTAAAATTATTCAAACTAGCCAATCCGAAACCTGCTTACATTGCCTGCCTTTCCTGCGGAAAGCACCACAAGGGTTCCTACACACATTTTCCCCTCACTCGGTCGGCCTCCTGAGTGACCTTGGTACTTCCCCAAGTATGGTTTACTGTGTCTTTTGTTTCTAGGAATTTGTAAATATGAAATCCTTTCTTTGTGACGCTCATTTCTGTCTGTGTGTCTTACTACATCTGATTAAAATAAAGTGCATTTTAAAATGGCACTCAACAGTCCTGGGAGTTAGGCAGTTAGGCAGTTTCTGTGATAATGCTCAATTTACACAAGAAGAAACTGAGGTCCCGAGTGCGGTTGGGAGCCTTGCCTGAGGTCACATGGCCAATAAGGGTCCACTGTGGGAACCAGTCTGAGCCTAGAGCCCCTGCTCCCAGCCACTTCCCCTTTTGATGACATCAGCCAACAGTCCTCTGGGCCTCTTGACCAAACCTTCTGTATTGTCTATCTTCTACACAAGGAGACACTTGAGGACTAGGGACTGGCTCCTGTATCTCTGGCTCCTTGTCACTGAACATCGGGCATGGGTACTGACCAAATGTGTATGGAAAGTATGGAGAGATCTTTATTTTTTGAGTTGGAGTCTTACTCTGTTGCCCAGGCTGTAGTGCAGGGGCACGCTCATGGCCACTGTAGCCTCGTCCTGCTGGGCTCCAGCGATCCTTCCGCCTCAGCCTTCCAAGTAGCCGGAACTACAGGCACACGCCACCATGCCTGGCTAATTTTTTGATTTATTGTAGAGATGAGGTCTTGCTGAATTGTCTAGGCTGGTCTCGAACCCCCAGGCTCATGCAATTCTCTTGTCTCGGCCTCCCAAAGTGCTGGGATTACAGGCTTGAGCTACTGTACCCAGGTCCTTTTTCTTTTTCTTTTTTCCTGAGATGGAGTTTCACTCTTGTCCAAGCTGGAGTGCAGTGACACAACTTGTTGGGCTCAGGCGATCCTTCTGCCTCAGCTTTTCAAGTAGTTGGAACTATAGGTACGTGCCACCATGCCTGGCTAATTTTTTTATTTACTGTGGGGATGAGGTCTGGCCAAGTTGCCTAGGCTGGTTTCCAACCCACAGGCTCAGGTAATCCTCTCACCTCGGCCTCCAAAGTGCTGGGATTACAGGCTTGAGCCACCGTGCTTGTCCTCCCTTTTCTTTTTAGAATAATACATCCCATGGCATATAGCAGGGCTTCACTTTATGTTTGCAAATAGTGTTCTTCCTTCTTCCTCTGCAGGTGCTGCGAGTGTGGCCAGGGCCTGGAGCATTTCCTTTGACAACCTTATTGGGAACCACATCTCCCAGGCCCTGCAGGGCATTTCTCTGCACGTACCTGGCATCCTGGCTGAATATCCAGACTTTTTCGCACTGGGCCTGGTGCTGCTCCTCACTGGTGAGGCTGGAGTCAGGGACAAGAGCACACAGTGGGAGCAGGGGTAGGAAAAGCTGGGGGGGGGCAAATCAGTGAGGGCATTTGGAGACCAAGAAAAAGAGACATGTAGTATGAGACACAGGAAGGCGAGACTTAACTGTTCCCTGTTTGGCACTGTGAGCATCCTGGGCCCTGTAATTGTTATGTGGGTTTTTTTTTTCTTTTGAGTTGAAGTCTCACTGTAGCCTAGGCTGGAGTGCAGTGGCACCCTCACTGCCATCACAGCCTTGACCTGCTGGGCTCAGGCGATCCTTCTGCCTCAGCCTTCCAAGTAGCTGGAATTACAGGTGTCTGTCACCACACCTGGCTAGTTTTTTAAATTTATTGTAGAGGTGAGGTCTTGCCAAGTTGTCCAGGCTGGTCTCAAACCCTTGGACTCAGGCAATCCTCTCACCTCCGCCTCCCAAAGTGCTGGGATAACAGGCGTGAGCCACCTTGCCCGACTTGTGTGTGTGTGTGTATTTTATTTTTCTGAGTCGAAGTTTCACTGTCACCCAGGCTGGAGTGCAGTGGCATGCTCATGGCCACCACAGCCTCAACCTGCTGGGCTTAGGCAATCTTCTTGCCTCAGCTTTTCAAGTAGCTGGATCTGCAGATGCACACCACCATGCCTGAGTAATTTTTGATTTATTGTAGAGATGAGGTCTCATCAGGTTACCCAGGCTGGTCTTGAACCCACTGGCTCAGGCAATCCTCTCACCTCAGCCTCTCAAAGTGCTGGGATTATAGGCGACAGTCACCACGCCTGGACTTCAATATTGTCTTTCCCACAGGACTGTTGGCTATAGGAGCTCGTGAGTCGGCCTTAGTTACCAAAATATTCACAGGCGTGAACCTCTTGGTTCTGAGCTGTGTCATCCTCTCTGGCTTCATTAAGGGAGATTTGCACAACTGGCAGCTCACAGAACTGGACTACCAACGGGCTAATAACACTTCTATCTCCAGGTAAGAAGGTGCATTTTTTTTTTTTTTTGAGTTGGGAGTCTCACTCTGTCACCCAGGTTGGAGTGCAGTGGCACTCCACTCATGGCCACCTCAGCCTCAACCTACTGGGCTCAGGTGATCCTTCCGCTTCAGCCTTCCAAGTAACTGGAACTATAGGTGTATGCCACCATGCCTGGCTAGTTTTTGTGATTTACTGTAGAGACGAAGTCTCACCAAGTTGCCCAGGCTGGTCTCGAACCCCTGGACTCAGGCTCTTTTTTTTTTTGAGTCAGTGTCTCACTCTTTTTTTTACCCAGTGCAGAGTGCAGTGCTGCAATTATGGCTCACTGCAGCCTCTATTTCCTGGGCTCAGGGAATCCTCCTGCCTCAGCTTCCACAGATGCTGGGATTACAGATGTGAGCCATCTCTCCTGGCTAGCGGCACACTGTTGTACACTGTTGGGGGCTGGGGGTTCAGAGCTGGGCATATGGTGGGAATAAGGGTATTTGGGCTGATGGGCTCAGACGCTGGGGGACACGGGAACCCAGGGCTTGTGAACTGAGGAGTCTAGTGAAGATGGCGGCAACCTTACCCATGTTCTTCCTCATGTCTTCTCTCACAGTACCTTGGGGCCTCTGGGCACTGGAGGGTTTTTCCCTTTTGGCTTTGATGGAATTCTCCGAGGAGCAGCTACGTGTTTCTTCGCGTTTGTTGGATTCGATTGCATTGCCACCACAGGTAACATGGTCATTCTGTCCCTTCAGGGGTTTGGACATGGTTGGGTCAGCCATTGGGCACAGGACGGGTAGGAAGGTGGCCAGACTGCTTTTGGAAACATAAGGGAGATGAGGGTTTTGCTTTGTGCTTTTACCTGTTTTATTTTTGAGTTGAGTCTCACTCTGTCACCCAGACTGGAGTGCAGTGGCTGCTCCCGGCCATCGCAGTCTCGACCTGCTGGGCTCCGGCGATCCTTCCGCCTCAGCCTTCCGAGTAGCCGGAATTACAGGCATGCACTACCACGCCTGGCTGAGTTTTTGATTTATTGTAGAGTTGAGGTCTTGTTGCCCAGGCGGGTCTCGAACCCGCGGGCTCAGGCAATCCACTCACCTCAGCCTCACAAAGGCGCGGGATTACAGGCTGAGCCACCGAGCCTGGCATTTAAAAAATTTTTTTTTGAGTCAGGGTCTTTTTCATTCTGTCTCAATTGCTGGGTTCAGGTGACCTGCTGGGTTCAGGTGATACTTCTGCCTCAGCTTTTCTTTTTTTTTGAGTTGGAGTCTCACTCAGTCACCCAGACTGGAGTGCAGTGGCCACTTCCAGCCACCACAGCCTCGACCTGCTGGGCTCCGGCGATCCTTCCGCCTCAGCCTTCCAAGTAGCTGGAACTGCCGGCATGCGCTACCACGCCCGGCTAATTTTTTTGATTTATTGTAGAGATGAGGTCTCACCTGCTCAGGCGGGTCTCGAACCCTTGGGCTAAGGCAATCCACTCACCTCAGCCTCCCAAAGGCGCGGGATTACAGGCTGAGCCACTGAGCCCGGCTTAATTTTTGATTTATTGTAGAGATGAGGTCTTACCAAATTGCCCAGGCTGGTCTCGAACCCCTGGGCTCAGGGAATCCTCTCGCCTCCACCTCCCAAAGTGCTGGGATTCCATGTGTGAGTCACTGCGCCTGTCTGCCTGTGTGTTTTCTTGACCGGATCCGTACACCCCTCTGTCCTGCAGGGGAGGAAGCCCTCCACCCTCAGCGTTCCATCCCTCTGGGCATTGCCATCTCACTGTTTATCTGCTTCCTGGCCTATTTCGGCATTTCCGCGGCCCTCACTCTCATGATGCCTTTCTACCAGATAAATGTTGACAATCCCTTGCCAGAAGCTTTCGTCTATATCGGATGGGCCCCGGTCAGATACGCAGTGGCTGTCGGCACCCTCTGTGCCCTCTCCACCAGGTCAGTGCCAAAGGCTTTCTCTGCATCCGCTGCCCCATGCCCAGGCGTCGTGGCTTGCAAGATGGAGACATGACAGGTAGGCCAAGGAGCAGAAGCCCCTGTCCGCCCCTGCTTCCCATGTCCCCACACACATTCCCCTTCTCTCCTTCAGCCTCCTGGGTGCCATGTTCCCCATGCCTCGAGTGATCTATGCGTTGGCCGAGGATGGGCTCCTTTTCCGCGGACTTGCCCGAGTCCATCCCCGCACGAGCACCCCTGTGGTGGCCACCGTCATTTCTGGGATCATGGCAGGTGAACACATAAAGTCCATGCTTTTCTTCATGCATTTTCTGAACTTGATTGTTAGTTTCTCATCCTCCCCTACACCCCATCCTTTTTTTTGATTCAGAGTCTCATTCTGTTGCCCAGGCTGGAGTGCAGTGGCACTCTCACAGCCATCGCAACCTCAATCTGCTGGGCTTAGGCAATCCTTCTGCCTCAGCCTTCCAAGTAGCTGGAACTACAGGCACATGCCATTATGTCTGGCTGATTTTTTGATTTATTGTAGATATGAGGTCTGGCCAAGTTGCCCAGGCTGGTCTCGAACCTGTGGGCTCAGGCAATCCTCTAACCTCAGCCTCCCGAAGTGCTGGGGTTATAGGCATGAGGCACTGCTTCTGACCTTTTCTTTTCTTTTTTTTTTTTTTTTTTTTG